ACGCCCGGGGGGTTCCCCAGCACCCCAAATCCAGCAGGGAATGTGGGGGGACACAGGGGACACCCCCCACTTCCCCCCAGCCACCGTGGGGCAGCAGGACCTGGGTGAAGAGGGAGCCCCTGGAGACCCCCAGGAATGGGGTTCAAGTCCCTGTTTGGTTGCTGCCACCCCCCTTTTTTTGGGGTCCAAGGATCCACTGCAAGGATCAGGGCCCCACAGGAGGAGGGGGTGCCCCCAAAACCAGCTGCAGGGGGGAAGTGGGGAAGTGGACCCTTCCACTCCCAGAGCAGGCACAGCCAGGTTGGGGCATTCACAGATTTTTAATTTAGTTCTTTTCCTTGGGACGAAAAAAAAAAAAAAAAGAAACAAAACCCAAAAAAAGAAAAAAAAATAAAATAAAAAGGCATCAAAAGCCCCCGATTTCAGGTTTGGGGGTACAGAGACCCCCACGCCGCCTCCCCCCCACCCCTGTAGTGTTTGAGGGTGCAAACCCCCCCAAAACCCAGGACAGCTCTCCCCCCCCACCCTAAACCTACAGGGAAGGCACCTCATGGGGGGTCTCCGTGGGTGAGGGACACCCCGGGGAGGGGGGGGACCCCCCAAAGCGGGGGCTGGGGAAGGCTCCCCCTGGGCAGGGGGAGAAGGGGACCCCGATTGCTCTCTACATATATATAATATACACCTATAGAACAGGCTGGGGGGGGAGTCTGGCCCCTCCCGTACCCCAAAAGCACCCGAACTCCTGGGGGCGGACGGGAAGAAAAGTGGGGAGGGGGGGGGAGACCAAGGCCAGCCTCGGGCTCACCCCGCGGACCCCCCACCCTGGGGGTGGCCGTGCCCCCCACGCCAGGGTGCCGGGGAGGCGGGTGGGATGAGGGAACCCCCCCGTTCCAGCCCGGCTCTGGGGGGGCTGTGTTGGCTCCCGCTCCCCAAGGTCAGTTTGGGTGGGCTAAGGCAAAGCCCGGCCGGCGCGGGGACAGCGGGCGCTTAAGACAGACACGGAAGGGGGGGGGGTGTCCTGGCCTTCATCCCCCCCATCCCGCCGCTCCTCCTCCTCCTCGCTGGGCTCAGAAAATATCCGGGCACAGGCTCCAGTCCTGCTTTTCCTTGCTCTCCCAGTACCCCCCCTTGTAGACGTGCGCCAGCTCCTGCGTCACCGGGTCCTTCTTCCGCTCGAACCACAGCGGTTTGTAGGGATCGCAGGGGGTCCCTGGGGGGCACAGAGGGGGTGAGGGCCCGGGGGGACACCCGGGGGGGCTCCGGAGAGGGGGGGAACATCCCTTCCTTACCGTCCTCGGAGGCGCGGGCGGCCTCGGCCTCGCGGCGCTTGCGGGAGAGCCGCTGCTTCTCCTCCAGCCGCTGCTTCTCGGCGTTGGCCTCGTCCCAGCGCCCGTTCTCCATGAGCCGCTGGTCGGGGCGCCGCCGGCTGTCCGTGGGAGCCGTCCCGCTCTCCGGGGCGTTCAGGGTCAGCGCCAGCTCCGAGAAGTAGTACATGTTCTCCGCGTACTTCCTGCGGCACGGGAGGGAGGGGGAATTCAGCGCCGGCCCCGCGTCTCCCCGCTCCTGGGAGACCCCTCATCCCGCATTCCCGACTCACGGGAGCGGGTTCCGCTTCCACAGCAGCACCCGGCTGTCCTCGGACTCGTGGGCTCGCGGCCGGGCCTCGGCTCCGTTGTCCCCCGTTCCCAGCTGGACTTTGTAGCAATCCATCTTCTCGTCCCACGTGCCCAGCAGGACAAAGTGCACCTTCCCCGAGGGGTCCGTCACCTCCCCGGTCACCTGGAGGGAGAGGGGGTGGCACCGATCAGGACACAGGCACCCCGGGATGTCCCGCGCTTCCCTGTTTTCCCTACCTTCCTCGCCACGTCCCGGGAGAAGTAGCTGTAAGGGACAAACTTGAGGTTGCACTTGTCACCCGTCTTGTGGTTGACGATCTCGATCTCACCCGACTGCAGAGGCAAGGTGACAGTCAGACCCACCCACACCCCGCTCCCAAGGGATCCATACAGGACCAGGGCGCTCCCATATCCGTGAATTCCCACCTGGTCTATCCACAGCTTCCCCACGATGATGTTGTGCACGGTGGTGGTCACCTTCTTCCACGTGTAGTGGTTGCCGGACGAGTGGAAGACGCAGTGGATGGTACCTGAGGGTGGGGCACAAGCCGTGTCGGGAACCACGCCCAGAGCCTCGGGCGGCTCCCAAAATCCCAGGATGCTCACCTAGAGGCATGATGGAGAGGTATTTCCCTCGGAATTTGCTGGTGATCTTGATTTCCTGGCGGAGCGTCCAGCCGTGCTTGGAGTCGGCGTGGTGGGCAGCGGCCGGGGGGTGGTGGCTCACCTGGGCAGGGATTGGGAACAGCTCAGTGCTGGCCATCCCAAGGGAATAAGAGAGGCCGGGAGGGCGGGGCTGGCCACACCTGCTCGCAGAGGGAGCGGTATCCGCTCTCCTCCAGCCGGTCCAGCTCGAAGGTCTCCCCCAGGAGCGGGTTGAAGGGTTTGCTGGTGCGGAAGACGGTGGTGGAGTAGGAGGAGACGGTGAAGGCGGCCACGTAGCACAGCTGCTCCAGGGAATTCTCGCACTTGGCCGCCCGGTCCAGGAGCTCGTGGTACTCCAGGTCCTCTGTCAGCCGCTGGAGCATCGACAGTGGCTCGTTGAAGTTCACCTGCAAGGCAGAAATGGGTCAAAAAAGGGGCTTTTTGGGGAGCCCCGAGCCCACCCGCCGGATGTATCTGCGCTCACCGGCATGGGAATTTTGGATAACTCCTTCCCGATGCAGTTCTTCATGATGCTCCAGAGGTTGAGGCTGTAGTTGGGTTTGTAGGGAATGCGGGTTCTCTTCTCCTTCTTGGTGTCCTCAACCTGGTGCTTGTACTGGGGAGGGGGGAGACAAGGGCTGTTCCATCACTGTGACCCCCCAAAACCCCTCTGTGGGAATTAGGGTACTCTCAGCCCATCCCTCTTCCCCTCGAGGGCTGTTCCATCACTGTGACCCCCCAAAACCCCTCTGTGGGAATTAGGGTACTCCCAGCCCAGCCCTCTTCCCCTCGAGGGCTGTTCCATCACTGTGACCCCCCAAAATCCCTCTGTGGGAATTAGGGTACTCTCAGCTCAGCCCTCTTTCCCTCAAGGGCTGTTTCATCACTGTGACCCCCCAAAACCCCTCTGTGGGAATTCAGGGACCCCCAGCCCAGCCCTGTTCCCGCCCCAAAGCCATAAACCCCCGTCCCACCTGCTCATCCAGGCTGATGTCGCTGCTGGTGCCGCTGATGTTGCTCCCAGTTCTCCTGGAAAGGGTGGAAAACAGGGTGATCACTTCCAAGGAGGTGCAGGCAGCGGGGCCCCCCCAGAGCCCCCCAGAACTCACTTGTGGCCCATCATGTCGGGCATGGGGAAGATCTCGGGGGCGTCAAAGAACTCGTTGTTGTCGTCGTCCTCGTCGCTCATGTCTCCTTTGGAGGGGCAGCACAGATCTGGGAAGGGGACAGTGCTGTTAAGGAAGGGACATCGCTCCCAGTTTCCCCACCAGTGAGACACTGGGAGGCCCCTGTCACCAGCAGGCAGGGGTCACGCAGGCAAGGCTCAGATGAGCCACTCTGGAGCCGGTTTTAAGTGCCAAAATCCCTTGGGTACACAAGGTGACAGGGGACAGACCCAGCCCTTGGGATCAGGGGACTGAGGGCAGCTGAGCCTGGCTCGGGAAAGCAGCTGGGGAACACCTGGCTTGTCCCATCCTGCCTTTGCCAGAGGGGTCACACACCACCCCGGCAACTCCAGGGGGTGTCAGAGGGAGCCGGTTTGGAGTGTGCCGTCGGTGCCAAAATCCCTTGGCTGCACAGGTGGCGCGGGACAGACCCACCCCCTGGGATCAGCGGAGCGAGGGAAGCTCAGGGAAAGCAGCCTCGTCCCGTCCCACCTTTCCCGGAGCCGCCGGTGCCGGGCGTGCCGGCAGGGAGCACCGTGGCCCCCCGGAACGCCCTTTCCAGGTGGTTGTGCTGCTTTGCCAGCTGCTCCAGCGTCTCCTCCAGCCGGATCCGCTGATCCCTCTCCTGCTGCAGCGACTTCTGCCACTTCTTCCCGTGCGTCTGCGCCAGCAGCATGAAATCCCTGCAGGCCTGCGGGGACAAAACCGAACCCAAACACGAGTGGCAGGGGGGGAGTGCTTCCCGCCGGTTCTCCCGCTGGTTCTCCCGCCTGTCTCCCCCGGGGAAGGCAGCCTCACGTTGATCATGGCGTTGGAGGTGATGCGGAAGAGCGTGGCCCGCTCGTTGACCTGCTTGATCTTGTCGGTGCTCTCGGGGGGCAGGCGCAGGGCCTCGAGCTCGCTGAGCGAGCGCTGCAGGGCCGTGCCGTGCTTGGCGATCAGGTCGTTGCAGGTGCTCAGGTCCTCCACCTTGCTGGACAGAATCCGCAGCGTGTTCTGCAGCTCCGTCTTGTCCGTCTGCGACACCGACTCGTCGCCGGAGT